AATTATCAATTAATCAAAAGATGAAGATTTGGAGACTGGAAGAAAAATGGTACCACAAATTACAGCAACTTTCAGAATATTGACAGGAACTCTTTAAAATAATTTAACGATGATTAGTAAGAAAAAAGCTCAATAGACAAGTTTGTTCCAAAAAAGACCCAAAAAGAAAGATACACTGATGAAAAATAAAATTACAACACCCTACGTGTGTTTCAATTTACTTAAAGAGTAAATGTACGATTAATATAGCTGGATTACAGCAAATGATTACATACACAGATTTCAAAAAGGTTGTATAAGCATTACTCAGACAACCTATTAATACACTGTATAGCCTCTTTGGGCCTTAAAACAGTTCTGTACTTTTACATGTCTACAATCATACAGATGGTAAATACTTTCATGTGATATATCCTTTTGTATTTGCTGGTGCAATGTTTTCTGTCAGACTTAGAGCTGGAGTTTATATTTACTTAGAAAACCAAACAAGACAAACACAGCAACAAGAGTTGTTGGTTGGCTAACTGAACCAATCGTCAGGTGTTATCAAATTTGTGCAAAGCAGAACAGATCTGGTGAGCATGGCAACCAGGGAAGTTGTTGAACATCTTACCAAGACTGTTCAATAGGTATCACATGAATAGGCATTACCCTGTTGGAATGGGACATGACCTTCCTGTTGCAGTATTGAGCAATTTTTTTTTTTACAGCTTATCAACCCTTTGCAGGTTATTTAAAGCCAAAATATATTGATGTTTTTAGAAGGTTGCTTACAGTAGCAGGTGTTCCCAAACATTTTCCCCCATGTGACTGGGCTCAACACTGCTTAACTTGAGTGAAGAAATCCTATTAGAGGAAAAGGTAGTAGAATATATTGAACAATGTTCTGTATATACCTGGTGCGGTTTAACATTCCCTCTATAAACACCAAGGGTAAACAAAAGTGATAACTTATGGCACCCCACACCTTACCACCAGGGGTTGGGCCTGTGTGTCAGACAAATTCAACCCAGAAGATATTGCTGCCCAGATCTACTCTGCACATATAAATGATCATCATTTACATGAAGGTGGAACCTGTTTTGATCCCTGAAAACATCTCCCAGGTGATCCTCTCCTGACCCTACTGGAGAGGGTGTAAGATAGTATGCCCTGCTGCAAGTGCCTGAGAACACATTTGTTCTGAGCTCTGAAGCCTGCCTCAGTTGTTTTTACATTAAAACATTGATTTTTAGCAAATATCTGGACAACATAGCTGTCCAGAATGCATTCAGGAAGATATTCTGATAAAATTCAGTATCATTGTTTAGGGTGTTGTAAGTTTTTTTTATTTTCCATTAGCATATAAAAAGCCTGTATCAATCATGTTAAGTGATATGAATACCAATTCAATTTTGTATCATTTTTTGTGATGAAAAATTGATTTTGCATAACAAGAATTCTGCAAAATGAGTAAAGCATCAAGCAAAAACTCATTCTTAGAAGGTTAGGGTAGCATCATAAGATTTCTTAAAAATAGTCAAACATTTCAGGCATGTAAACTGGCTGAATACATTGAAAAATTGAAAAAAGATCAATCATTTTGAGGAAGAGAAATTTGGTTGCATGAAGACAGTTGATCTAATGTTGCACAAATGAGTGGAATCCATCTAAGATAGGGAATTTCTTACATTTTGCTTATTTATCTCTCTATGAATTAATGATGATACATTTCCTTACAGACAAGATCTTGTCAGAACCAAACAGGAAACAAATTCAATGAATTTATCAGTTCTTCAAATGAAACATTTTCTTTTGACAAAAGGAATTTTGTAATTTACTGCAAAGATTACAGAAAAGTACTGAAACCAAAGGAGATTATTTTGAATAAATATTTTTCAATAAATTGACTATATCATGTTCACCTGATAATTTTGAAATATTAAAAACATGTTATAAACTATATGTAAGCATTCACTTCAAGAAGTTTATTAAACAATATTAGATTAAATTTATAGAACTTATTGAACTCATATTCAATGTAAGAAATTATTTGATTTATTTGAATAATTATAATTAGATCAGTTTTTCATTTTTATGCAATTATTTTAAATGCAAAAGCTAAGTGAAAATCAAATTTTCTGAATTATTTAAAAAAGTAACAGAAACAAATTAGTGACAAAGAAAAATTTAGCATGTTAATTTTTGCCTTTTTTTGAGAAGCACATTTTTTAAGTTTTCCATGAATTATCAAAACTATTTCATTCAGTCTTAATCTCAAGGGTTTTCAGCTCTTAATATTCATAATTTTGAATTTTTTTTTATAACCAAATAAAAAATATGTATTAATACATTCAAAAGTTTTATAAAAGATGTTTGAATTGAATGTGAAGACAACCGAATAGAGAGATCATTGTTTCAAAATCATTCTAAAAAGGTGCAAGGCTTTCAATAGTGTCAAGTTTTAAACAAGGGGATTTTGTAATATGATGCTCATGTTAAGTTTTCTATATAAGTCTCAAAATGAAAAAAGAAAAAATGTAAAGAGCTGATTCACACAAGCCAAAAAACCAAAAAAACAACCTCTGAATGATTTATTATATGTGACCATAAAAAAATATGAAGCTAAAAAGGTTAAATAAGGTTAAAATAAATGCTTCAGGAAGAGGAAAGTGATTCAATTTGGGATCATATTTGCTGTTGCAAAGGGATGTGTTTTAATTTAGGTGGAAAAATACTGACCTCAGATTGGTTCATTTTTGTATGTTGCACTCTTTAAAAAAAAAACAAAAAGAAATGAAAAAACTAAAAAATGTCGTTTGATAGAACATTTTAACCAAAGAAATGAAAAGCTTATAAAATTACCAACAGTTACAGTGAAACTGTAATACATTCCACACATTTATTTATATATATATATATATATATATATATATATATATATATATTACACACACAAACACATGGTTAGAGAGATGCTCTACACACCAACATGTTCATATAAATTCTGTATAAAAGAAAATAAGTACATTCATATTTACAAAGATTTTATAAGTCATCTTTTGTTTTGGATATTATATATATATATATATATATATATAAAAAGAAATATAGTCTTAAGGTGTGCTATATTTATGGGATAAAGTGCTCACTATCAGAGATAGAGCATGTGTAAATATAAGTGAACATTGAAGTCAACACTTAGAGGCAAAGTCTGTTTCATGCTAGATGCAACCGTCAGGCCACAAGTGCTGTTATATTTCTCAGCTATTTATATATATGGGTCAATGGTGCATTGTGTGTAATCTATTTTGGTGGTTATTTTGCCAGAAGTCGTTTATTTGTTTGGGTTAAATTATTTTGCTTGTCATTATTTTATTTTATTTTTTTTTTTTAATCTTATATATTTATTTTTTTATTCAATCGGTGTTTTTATTAACGTAGTAAAGATTTGTTTATGTTGCTTATTTAATAGTTTTGATTTGGTTTGGGAAGATAATTAAAGCTATTTATTCAGTTTTGGGTTTGATTGCTGTAGTTTATTCTAACTATTATTTTGGCGGGAGCAGTTTTTAATTTGTCTATAACATCACGTATTTATTTGGATTGATTATCTTTGTTTTTTCGAATGGTTAATTTATCGGGATTGGTTTGTTAGTTTGTTTATTTATTTGGATTAATTTAGATTAATTTATTTTACTTGTTTTTATTATTTGTTTATTATACTGTAAATTTTTATTCACTCTTTTCGGTTTTTAAGTAACATAATTTTTTTTTTTTTTTAATTGTTATATAACATTTATAGCTATAATTTTGTCCAATTTTTGGTTTGATTTTTATAGTCTAACTAATATTTTGGTCATAATGGTTTGTTAATTTGTTTATTATTTACTTTATTTATTTGTGTTCATTGATTTTGTTTTTTTATTTATTTATTTTATTTTGTCTATTTGTTGTGTGATTTGGTAAATTGTTTGGGTTAATTTATTTTAATTATTTTATTGTCATTTTGTTTATTTATTTTATTTTTTTATTTTATTTTTTCAGTTTTCAATTTTTAAGTAACATAGTAAAAATTTGTTTCCATGCCTGCATTTTGAGATGAGCTTGAATCTTTTATTTAATAAATTTATTTTGATCTGGGAAGGTAATGATAGCTATTTTTCCTCCAAGCAAAGTTTGCAAATTTTTGATTGGTTGTTGTAGGCTGATGATCTTTTCCTTATTTTCCAAAATATTTTTGGTGTGATGTGCATTTTGTTTTAATATATATATATATATATATATATATATATATATATATATATATATGTATGTATATATATATATATATATATATATATGGAGGGGGTGTATGACACAAACTAAGAAATTTGTAACAATTTTACTTGGGGGCATATTTGGATCCATAAATCTTCCAAAATGAGTTTAGCAATAATTATATAAAAAACAATCATTTCGTCAGATTTGACCAGAGAACTTCTCAGCATTCTTACATGTACATATTAAGGAATAGTAGATATTTTGATAAAATTTTTAAAATCTTCAGTCATTTTGTGATATATTAGCACTCACACTAGTGCACCAGCTGTTCCTGAGCTTTATACAGTGACATATGCCACAAATATGGCATAAATGCTCATTTTGTTTAATTAGATTGATTCTTTTTCTATGGCTTAACCTACTGCAAATTATTTAAAATATTTTTAGATGGTAAGAATTTTTGTTTTTTTTTGGTTTTTTTTTTTTGAGATAATGGTTTAGCTTATTAACCCATTGCAGGTTATTTAAAACCAGAAAATATTTTTTTGAGATAATAATGATTTTTTTTTGAGATAATAATGATTTAGTAATAAAAGTCTTACTAATTAACCCAGATCTGGTGGAGAAGAGGTGAATTCATACCTTTTATAAGGGTATTTGAACATAAGTGAATATAACAAACCCAACAGGAATTGGAATGTGGCTCTCCGAATAACAATTCCAAGACAATATCCATTATACCACCCAGACATCCAATCTTACAGCACTGGCATTTCCAAGCAGTCGCCCATCTAGGTACCAACCAGGCTTGACATGGCTTAACTTTGGTGATCATACAGGAACCTGTGTTTCAATGTGATGTGGCCATAAGCCTTTTTTAATTAGAACCATTTGATACAATTCTTTATCAAAACATATGTAGGGTATCATTTTTATATTTACATATGCTCTATATTGAGCACTTTATCCCATAAATATAGCACACCTTAAAACTATATATATATATATATATATATATATATATATATATATATAATATATATATATATATATATATTTTTTAAATAAAATTTCCAGTGTGCAGTGACCGATCACAATTGCCAGTTTCATATGCTTTCATGAAATCATCAGGTAGTCAGTAGCAGTTATGTATGAAAATCAGAACTTTATATCCCCTTAAGCAAGTCCGAGATAGTAAAAGTGTAGCTGATGTGTGCATATCATGCATGCACAACAAAAAAATTCATTGAGGGGGTAGGGAAAAAAAATGCCCAAACAGCATAGATGAAAAAGCTGTAAATTCATATTAAACAAAAGAAAAAAAAAAACAAAAACAGAAATGGTTCACCAGTGTGCCAAAAAATTGCTCAATACCATGGGGAACAATGGGACTGTGGCAAAGAAGCTGACTGCTGAAAGCAAAAAAGGGCTTGACAATACGTGCCCTCAAAGTCCCTCATGATGGAGCATATAATAAGATAAGCAGAAGAATCTTCTATAGAGGCACACTGGAAGAATATTATATATATATATATATATATATATATATATATATATAGAGAGAGAGAGAGTTTGATAAAGAAATGTAGTTTTCTACATTTGTTTATCAAACTGCTAATATTTGGATTTTAATTCTGAAGATATTTTTTATATTGGTGTCACTTATTTTTATAATTTTTAAAGCCATTTAATTCATATATTTCAGAAAAATATATTTAAACAATTTTTTAAATAAGCTTTTTTTTTCTTTTTTTTTTACTATTCTCATTCTTAATGTAATTATCAGACAATTTTTTTAATTTTGTTTTATTAAAATAAAAAAAGAAGATTCATTTTTTGAAAATTTAAACTTATTTAGTTTTTGATGGCCAAAGAATTTCTATGATTCCATGGCATTTAATCCAAATCTGAGGTAAAAAAATCAGTCGGGTTTGCACTATCAACTTTTTAGGCTATAAGTTCTTCAAGTATGAATTGAATGGGTTAAAACAAATCAAGAAATAAATAGTCCACATATTCTTTCATTTTGAATATCAAAGGCAAAGGTGAAAGAAAAAATTACTTAATGCAAACAAATTTTATACAAGAAACTCAGAAACAAATGAATAAAATTCCAACAAAAAATTTGAAAGTTCCAACAAATATTAATTATAAAAAACAGTAAAGAAAATATTTAAAATTTCAACCAAACAATATATTCCCAATCAGAAAGTTTATTGCTGCTGCCATTTTATTCTGTAAATAAAACTGAGAAAGAAAATGGGATGTGTCCATTGGTGGTTTGTAACAATAGATTAATAATAACAAATCACAAAGTTTATAAAAAAAACAATTAGAGAAAAAGGTAAAAAAAAAAAAAAACATATACTTAACATTTTCTGTATCATGGAATCAAGAGTAAATAGAATTTTCCTTGTAAACAAGTCATTTGTAAATAGAAACAAAAATGAATATTACCATATTGCTAGGTGTTATGAGGAAAGGCCAACCTGTGTATATATATATATATATATATATCATGTCTAGCTTAAATAAAACCTGTCTTCAGCATCATCACCAAAGAGAAGTATGCAAACAAGAAGGGAGTGAAATACCATTTTGTTTTATCATTCCTGGTATTACACAAAATAATCTCCAAGAATACGAGTATTTCTTTGCAATCTTCAGAAACATAATACATTTTCTTCTTTTCTTCATTCCCTTTGACCAAAGTTCAAACTCTTTCTTCATCATTCTTAAGCATAAGAAACAAACATTTAGTGCATTTTCACATGGTGTAATAATTAGCAAGCTTATCTTGCTAGAACAATTACAACCAAGTAGTGAGTTCGATCCTCACTGGGTACCCCATGCTTTTGGCCTTGTGCCACATCTAAGCTAGGCTTAGAAAATCCCTACAAGAAACAAACATTGCACAGACTTGCATTCATTTTATTGAGATTTACTTCAATGTTGAGAAGCAGATAAAATAATCCATGAATGTAACAATTTCATTTTTTTATAGAATTCATTAAGTTATTATGCAACATTATCAACGTTGATCTGGCAAATATGTTGGTTACAGTATGCTATATATGACTTCTATGAACATCCCCTCCATTAATTTATAGACAAATCCTACATATGTATTCTAGAATTTTTTCCTAACAAATAAAAATGTAAAATTCTTTGTCTTGTCTCCTGCCTTGAAGTTGGAACACTATAACCACTTGACTGTATCCCTTTTGTATGTAAACACAATTTTTACTTTGTGAACGTTTTGCTTTATTAATATGGTTTACTTTGTTTTTGACTTGCATATACTGTTTGTCTTATCCTATTTTGTATTGCTCTGTTCTTTCCCACCTCTTATTGTTTGAGAACTTTGCTTGCTGAGAATTTTGTCAGTTGCATTTAACCATGGCCAGTGATTTTGTATATGATATGAAATAATACCAAAATATTATCACACCAATTCCTAAAGCACTGTAAGTCACACCATGCAAAAGAAACGTTTTTAGATTTAATGATATTTTATATATCAAAAATAAATTAGATACCTGCAAAAAATTTGTAAAGGTAAAACAAAATGTAAAAAAAGTGAAAAAAATAATAATGAAGAAAAACTTACACCTTTCAATTTGGATCGGCCAGCAAAATTTTTTATTTCCAGCATTAGTTCTTCTCTTGGACTGAGTACTGGTTCTGGCAGTTTTCTCTTGGGTTTCCTTGCCAAAGCTGGTTTCTTCAGTACCACTGCTGGAACAGCTCTCAGAATTCCATCTTGCTCATTTACAGGGGAAGTAGGTCTTTCTGGTTGGTCAATTTTTTTCAGATTTGCCAATGCATGAGTAAGAGGAGGTGGGGTAGGTGGTTTAGGTGGGGGCTTTGGTACTGTCTGTTTTAACTTCACAGCAGTGAAGTCTTCATCTCTAAATGTCTCTGGTGGAGGTGGAAACTCTAAGGAAACTTTTCGAACAGGCTTTGTTTCCTTGGCTGGTATAGGAGGGGACAATACTGGTGGTGGTGATGCTCGAGTCTTCAGATTCTCTGGGAGGTTTCTCAAACCTTCTTTGAAGCTCTGGATTATCTCCTCTTGACTTTTAAGCATCAATTCCATCTTGCGCAATTCTGGGTCATCAGGGGTGCTAGCTGTTTTGTTGAGAATGATACCCTTGTGTTCTTCAAGTTGTTGTTGCCACAACTCTATTTGGTCTTTCATGGCATCTTGCTCTTCCACCATGAAAACTGGGTCTGGAAATGCCTCCAGTTTCATTTCCCAAAGGTTAATCTGCTCTTTGAGCAAATTCTGTTCTTGGAGAGCTAGTCTTCGCTGATATTCTTGTCGATGTTGGATTGCTACCAACTGTTGGTGCCACAAGCTGACTTGTTTCTGTAGAATATCATATTCACTCTCAGAGTAAAATGCTTTACCCTCATCGGGGAGACATAACTTCCGATGCCAAAGGTCAATCTGCTCTTCTAAAATTTTTTGTTCATCATTTATGAAATCACTGCTATCAAGCTCGTGACCATTGTCCAGTTTTTTCTGATAAAGGTCAATCTGTCGGTTTACTATTGCTTTCTCTTGTTCAAGAATTTCAGGATCAACATCTTTTTTTCTTTGAGAGAGGGTTCTCTTTAACAGTTTTATTTGCTCCTTTGGCATTTCCTTATCAACAGTTGCCTTTCTTTGCTCATATTCCATTAGATCCTTCTGCCAGAGTTCAATCTGTTGCTGAAGAATTTCACTTTCAATTCTGGTAAGCTCATCAGCACCAACACTGCATCTCTCACGCTTTTTCTGCCAGATGGCAATCTGCTGGTTAATGATATCTTGTCGGGCAGAGTGTGATAAGGGGTGGTCATCTAGTGTGTACATATTAAGCTGCTTCTTCCAGATTTCAATCTGCAGCCTAACGTCGTCACGTTCCTCGCTGATACTGCTGGCCGTGTTACGCCTCATTTTGTTGTACCACAAATCAATGTACTTTTTGAGAATTTCCTGTTCCACAGCCAAATGGATGGTTTTTCCATCTTTCTTCTCTGTCAATCCTTTCTGCCAGAGCTCAATCTGTTGCATGAGTATGTCACGTTCCTCTTCAGTGTATCCAAGCGTTTCATTCTTAATGACCTCCAGGTGACCCTGCCAGAGTCGGATTTGTTCCTTCTGTAGTTCTTCATCAAGCAACTTCAACTTAATACGAGATTCTTTTTTCTCCTTTTTCACATCAAGCCATCTCTGCCATAGGTCAACTTCTCGAGCTAATAATTCAGTTCCTCTTTCACTGATAGCCACAGCACTATTTTTCTCACTTGGTTTAATCAGCTTGTCTTCCCACAGTTTTATTTGGGTCTTCAAGATGTCTTGTTCTTCTTCTTTATAGTTAATCACAGCCAATTTCTTCTCCTGCATGGCAGATACCTTCTGTTGCCAAAGATCTACCTGCAATTTAAGCACTTCCTGTTCTAGCTGAATATCTGGAGAATCAGTTGCAATGTTATTCTTCAGCTTCTGTTGACAAAGTTCGATCTTCTCATGAAGCAAGTCTTGTTCTAGAGCAATAAAATTTTCACACTCAACATCATCACCACTTAGGCGCTTATTCCACAACTGAATCTCTTTTTCAATTATCATCCGTTCCTGAACAAGATACTGATCGTCAATTTTCCGACTGCTATCCATCTGTTGTTTCCAAATGTCTATCTGCTTTAACATGATCTCCTCAGAAAGATTGTCTTTCTGACTCAACTTACTCTGCCACAATTCAATTTGCTGCTCTAAGATTTCCTGTTCAATCTGACTGTCATCACTTGGGTTCTTTTGCACATCCTGTAACTGCAGCTGCCAAACATCTATTTGTTCTTTAAGTATCTCTCTTTTTGTTGACACACTTCCAGTTTTGCAACAGTGCAGCTGCTTTTGCCATACATTAAGCTGTTGTTTTAAGATATCTTGTTCCTGTTGACTGAATGCATACCCTGCAAACTTTTTCTCCCTCAGGTTCTTTTTCCATACATCAATCTGTCGCTTGAGCAGGTTTTGCTCTTTCTCATCAATATCCATGTTGTCATCCTTGATTAGCTGACACTGCCAGAGTTCTATTTGCTGCTGAAGGACATCTCGTTCCTCAGTAGTGTACAGATCAGCACATTTCTCAATAACTTCAATTTTTTTCTTCCAAACTTCTATTTGTTTCTTTAAAAATTCTGTTTCCTGTTCCTGGAACTTTTTTCTACCATCATGTTGCCGTTCCTTAGCAAGAAGCTTCCTCTGCCAAAGCTCAATTTGTTGCTTCAAGACATTCTGTTCAAGAAGCCTAAATCCAGATGTGTCCATGACATTAAGTTCCTTCAATTGCTTATTCCACAGGTCAACCTTCTGCTTCAATTTATCTTGTTCCTGGGGTGTATATAAATTACTATTATCACTCAGATGTTCCTGTAACTGCTTCTGCCAGTGTTCTATCTGTTTCTTGAGGTTACCCTGAGGCCCGCTCTCAATGTCACCTGATCGTATTTCACATTCTGAATCAAAAGACAAATTGCTGACCTGAAGCATTATCTTTGGTGATTCCTCCTTGTTAGGGACTTGTTTCTCTTCTTTCTTTAATTCTTCAAGTTTCTTCTGGACTTCAACTAGAGGTGAGCCACGGTAATCTAAACCCTGCCTATCCTGTTTGGTCAACAGCAATTCCTCTTTGGGACTTTCCATATACTGTGCCAGCTCTGCAGCACTTGAAGAACGGCTCAGTTCCAGCGATGCACTAGTTTCAAGATTTGGACGAATCACAGTCACTTGTTGGCCAATTTTTGTCTTGGTAAGAGCAGCTGTCTTTTCAATTCCAATCTCCATTCCATTGACCTGAAAGTGTTCCATTTCAATAACTGATGGTTTACTATTACCAATTTTCTCATTTTCTGCAGAAGACTGGGTGTGTTTTTGAGGAACTGGAATTTGGATTTCAGTGATGCCATTATCATACTGCTTAACCTCTGTAGTTTCTTTAATGACATCGTTAACTTCAGCCTCTGCATTGTGGACACTATTTGTCGAAACATCCGATGTACCAATGGTAGTGAAACTTCCGTCAGAAGAAATACTGATTATATCAGAATTTTTCTTTTTTGGTGAATTGTTGTGTAAGGCAACGTTGTGAGTGATGGTGTCTGATAAGTGCTTGTTACCATCACTTACCACTGAATTCTTCATTTGTTCAACGTATGGCGGTGTTCCTGCAAATTTGTTCTCTGCTGATCCATTAACTGTTCTGCTTTCAGCAGCCCTTTTTGACTGCACCTGTTTGGTTGTTGCAGTTGGTGAAACATTTAAGGTTTCTTCAGAAGATGCCTTACTCAATTGTTCAACAAACAGTTTTTGTTCCATTTGTTGTTCTTCACCTAGTAACCAGAAACAAAAATTGATCAAATTTTATAAAGTATTAAAAACTGAAATAAGAAATTATTTTAACATTAAATGAGTCAGCTGAAAAATTCACACTACTATTTATGTTTATATCTTAAACTAGATATAAACACAAGTAGACAGACCAATTGGTAGACTAAAAGACCTGCAAGTGTAAAACAATAAAACAGCTGGTCAGCCAATGGTTGTATTGAGATACATTTGCCGACCAGTTGTCGGATTCTCTTGTACACAACAAAAAATATTATGAAATTAATAAAAGAAAATTTTATTGAAAATATAATTTAAGAATAAATTTGGCATCTTTTAAAAAGTAAACCTAAATAAAAAAGATTTAAATAAGACATTTAGAACAAAATACTAAAACTTTCAAAAGACACTTTGTAAATATTTTTATATGATAATCTAAATAATGTTTTAATAAAAATCTAAATAATGTTTTAATAAAAATACAATTCAAAAGAAACAATTTATTTTGAAATATATTTAATGTTTTAATCAATTATAAAAATTATTTTTAAACAAGTTTTTAGTATTTTATTTAATCTCTAACAAAATGAAACAACAATAAACATGAAGTTGGCATTTTACATTTCCAATGATAATTTTTTTTAATTCTCAGATAAATTTTTAATTTTTATTCATAAATGTTGTAAAGATTTTTCTTTCTAGTTGAAAGATTTATCGAAAATAAAATTAGAAACAACTTATCTGAAAAACATTTTAATCTTATAAAAAAGAAAAAAAAATTCAAAGCATAAAATTCAGAGTAACAAATCAAATTTTGGTAGAAAAGAAATGAGATTTTATTACAATTCCATATTCTTCAAATGACCAGTTTTAATAAAGTTCATCATTTTTCGAAGAAGAGAGAATTGTCATCCTGAAGAATTTGCATTTTAGTAAAAATTGATTTCTTAAGCAATAAGAAATTTTTATTTATTAACTTTGTTATTACTTGCCATTTTGAAATATAAACCTGGGACTAATTAGAAACTTAATACAAAGTCTTTATAAAATGTGAAGATAATTCATTAGAAGTTGCAGTAAGAAGTAGCAATGAAGTTTATAATTTTACTAGAATATCTTATGTCCAAATACTTATCTAAGAAATTATCTAACAAGAAATAACATTGTAATAACATCATTTTGCAAGAACCACTAAACAATATCTATAACATTACTTCAAGGATGTTTCTGAATGATTTTCATGTCAAGAGACATAAAGAATGATGACATCTCCAAAAGATGTCTGTAGGTAAGCATTCAAAATTATTTTATTCACAACCCAATTTCTAGTCAACATTTTCATAACATTGTTCACATTATGAACCACAATCATGTTTTTAGGAAATAACTTTCATTCTTGCTTTTCTTGCTATTGCGCACTTTGATGAAAACTCATTTTCACAGCAGAACCAAACACATGGTGGATACATTTACTACCTCTGAGAAATTTCCTGCAGTTACATGTTCAGTGCAAAAGAGAGGCAGTGTAAAAGAGCATATAAGGAAGAAAAATAAAGTGTTTTAAATTCAGATCCCTAGAAAGGTTGCCAGACACAAACCAACAGGACACAATCAATAGTAACAACAACTGCAAGTCTAACATTAGATTCCACAATCAAAAGTACAATTCAATTCCCTGTGGAACTTAAGTTGCATACTCATATTCAGTAGAAAGTGTAAAAGCAGCATAAGGACAATTCAAAAAGAATCTACTGATATAAGTTATCTTCCCTGAAAATGGACACCAGATCTACACACTTGGATAAAATAAAGAGTTCAGATACAAATTTCCCAGATACTGAAGGAGATAAGAGAATTCAACCTTGTGACTATAACAATCAAGATGAGGATAATAATCCCAATACATCTATGTCTAATAATGAGAATTTTAGATGAAGATTACAAAAACGAGATATTTAAGTTTCACATCATTTAGCATTTTTTTTTCTGGATATTTTTTGAAAATAATTTTTCTTGTGAAGAGGTGCATGGAATAGATTCTGGAAGCCAAATCTCCTACCACAGGTGTTGCACATTATATATTGTCATGGTAAACAAGTTGGAATTATGATATTTCATGCAGGACACACTTGCTAATTCAGAGTGATCAAGTTGCAAAAATTAAATAAATGATCAAGAAATAGTTAAAAAGTTTTAAGACATTTTAAAGAGAAAATTACTGGATTGGAAACTCATTGAAAAGTAAATATTGACAGATTCTTTTCCAAAATTAAAAAAAATGACTTATCCATTTAACTTTACTTAACCTTGGAATCTCAGCCATTATTACCCACCTAGTCCTATCATCAGTCATCCAGCCGACTCACCTACCTTTAGCTGGAGCTTTTGTCATTTGGTCCATTAACTCATTTTGCAAGGCTTCTTCAGCCACAGCTATTGTTTCATCAAAAGCACAAGTTACTTCATCTGCAGTGCCAACTGAAGATGCAGTGCTCACTTTGCTCAAACTTCGGGCATGTCCTAGAAAAGCAAAGAGTGATGACATATGTGCAGTGGGACAATGGAATGCAAGATAAACAAAGGTAAGGACAAACTTATGTGCACATGAAGACAGAATAAAGGTCAGAAATAGCATAAAGGGTAATGAAATTCATGAAAATGACTGATTTCCTGTTAGCTTTGTTATAAAATTTGTACAGCAGATTTCAAACATAGAATATTTAGACAGCAATCATTCATTTAGACATGTTTTGTTAAATAGAAAAGACATAAAATATTTTTAAAAGTTTTTCCTTCTGTTAAATTAGTGATTTTATTTCAGAAGGAAAATGATAAAGGAACTTGCTTTAAATAAATGTTAAAGATCTGAGGACTTTCAAATCATCAATGACCATTTTCAAGGATAGAAGATTGAAAGTTTAGAAATATCCAGAACAGGTGTTTATATTGTTGTCAGTTTAACACCAGAGAGAATGAGGATTAGCATTTATGATTATGAATAGAATTTAGTGTCCTATGGCAAACATGACAATTTAGAAACATTTCAAGAGATAATTACACAGATTGAAACAAATTTTATTAATAGTAGGTTGGTTACCCTTAGTGTAAAGGGCCTACAGAATTTGTAATCATTTTGTTCAGAGAACTATTGTATTGTCAACCAAAACCTGATGACTATGAGCAAATGTGCCATAGGTTTGTTTTACATCTGTAAATTGCACTTTGAAGGAAGAGGTAACCAGTCATTCATCTCCAGAGAAATGTTGGGATATAAACAATGTGTTTTCTCTTACTTGTAAAGCCATAGTCTTCTAAAGAAAGAGAAAAGGATGTTTTGAATATTTTTCTAGTAGAAATATATATATATATATATATATATATATATATATATATATATATGTGTGTGTGTATGTATGTGTGTGAACTGCTGATATCTCTTGACAAGTGGACAGAACGAATACAAAACAGTTTGTCTACAAAACTCCACAGCTAAGCGAGTAATTTTATTTGTATTAATCCTTTCTTTTTCCCCTCCATATAAGGATTATGTTTAGTATTTAATTCTATTTCTTGGACATAATACATTAGCCCAGGTTCATTTCAGACTTTTAATGGACAATGACATGAATGCCATACTGGCTATTTTGGGACTTTCAACGCTCATTGTTTCAAAACATCACAGAAAGTTGTCAGATCAGATCTCAGCATTTAATTATAGCAAGTTCTTACCAGAAATAAAGTGACCAACCCTCGACTATTTCAACATTGAGAGAATCTCACCATTTTCACATTTTTTGTCTGTTCTATTTATTAGAACACACACACATATATATATATATATATATATATATATATATATATATATATACATACACACACACACACACACACACACACACATACATACACACAAGGTAAATTTGGAAGCTTAAAAAGTTGTTGACCTTATTCTAAGAATATAAATGCCTTTATTCGTAAACATTTTTGAACACTCAAAGTGTCATGGAAACTGAATACTTTTCCTTGTAAACCTTATTCAATATATCTGTCTATTCCTGAGATGAGGTATAGTAACTATTTACATCTTTTGTACTGTTGTCCTCATTTTTATTGCCATATTCACAATATTTGGCCATTGTACACTGATTTCCTTCAGGTGATATATGTTGAAATTTCGTACCAAACCCTTTATTTAGTCAAAAAAGTGACGTGACCCAAAGAGTTGTGAGTTTACCTGGCCACAGCAGAGGAAACAAAAACTTGGAGAATTGAGTTACTAAAGGGAATTAACTGATACTGAGATATCAAAAAAGGCATGGCATGTGGAATTAGAACAATCTACCTGTGTGGAGTAAAAAATGGTTCGGTTTGAAATTCCAACATATATCACCTGAAGAAGATTGGAACATACAATGGTTGAAACATTGTGAAATATGGCAATAAAGATTAGGACCACAGTCAGAATGATGTAAATAGTGTAAATAGTTTATTCTAATAGTCATTCTTTATTATGCTGGGTGGAAAGAACATGTCATTTCCTTTTCACCCTTTATCAAAAAGTCATCTGCACTTAAATTTAGATTCAATAAAAGATAATGGTACACTACCTTGTTTTTTTATTTCTGAAATCCTAACTTTATATTCCTGTTTAAAAAGAATGTTTTATAATTTGCTGATTTCACTCAGATATATTGAATATAACCTTTGGCCTCCCCTTGAAAAAGTTGCAGCTTAAACACCCACCCACCCACCACTTAAAAAAGGTAAACACAAATTTCACTTACAATTTAGTAAAAAATTTCCATTTGACTTCTATGCAAAAAACTGTGTGGTCATATTTTTAAACTTCTTTAAACTTATGATTAAAAGCATTTATTTTACATATATTTTTCAACAGTCTCCTTTCTTGTCAATGCATTTAACCCAATGCTACACACACACAGTGAAAATTTTAGAGTGATAATTTCAGATCAAAATTCAGAAAATAATTGTATCAGGCTACAGACAGAAATCTGTCCTTGTACACAGGTTGTAGATACATAAAAAAAGATTATATGCTGCAAAAATTTTAAAGATAATATCAAAATGCAAAATGAATTTCTTTCCCAATAACTGTAAAAAGAAAAAAATACTTTTTATGATATCTGGGTCACAATTAAATAATATTAAAGTCAAAATGAAACTTTATTTTCAGTTAGGGTTTTAATCTTTAAAATGTTTTGTTGCAAATTAAATTTGCATGAAATTAACATAAAATATAAGTGATGACAATAAATTATCTATTTATCAAATTTTTATTTGTGATTCTTTAAAATACTCTTAAAAATTATTTTTAAAAAATACTCAAATCAAACACTGAAAAGTATTTGCAGCAGTAAAGGTTATGTTAGTCACTTTGATGTGTGACATCCATATAAACTAAAAAAATACCTATTAGTGTAGCAAGTAAAATTATCACTACTAAATATGCCAAAGATTGATCTTCATCCAAAGACAATGATGCTGTATAGATAATGAGATTTGATTGATTTTCTGTTTTATGGTTTGTCATCCCTTTGTGGGTTATTTAAAGCCAAAACATATTTTGGATTGTAAGAATTATTCTTTTTTGTGCATGAGTATTGGATTAACATTTTTTTAGAATAACAATGACTTTTTTCAGATATAAATTCTACTATTTAACCCACAGATGGGGAGTTGCATCTTTCCTAAGGGTATTTATAGTTAAGTAAATGTAAGGAGCCCAACAGGAATTCAAATTCAACTCCCCTATTTCTCATTGCAAGCTGTTATTTATTAGATCACCTGTACATCCTGAATGAGTTTGCAAAAGAATCTTTATTATGAACACCTTCCAGAGAACCAAACAATTGATTCAAACTTGTACTGTACCAAATTGAATAAAGTGATCAACAAAAACAAAAACCAAATGTCTGCAATTGGTTAAGACAAAGGGTGCAATATTTTGTTGGTACAATTCTAGACTACCAGAGTCTTTGGTAATTTGACAATAATCGTTATAGAAACTTATCAATGTCAATTCCGATGAATAGTTTAAAAAATCACTATAAAAATTAAGATGTATTGTCTTTCTAATTGGAAATTAAAGAAAATATATATAAATATGAAATACAGATGCATCTCAACAGTGGAATTTAAGGAAAAGTTTAATTTTGCTGTTTATGATAATCTGATCTATTATCAATGATGTAGTGAATCCTTTTAACAAAATTACTGCAACAATCACATACGTCATACATTTCACCCAAATCTGAAGCAAACACAACTTCTTTATTGAATCTCTTCTGGTTGGGCAGGGAACTGTTCAGTATTTGGAAAAAATGTAAAATTAAAAAAAAATTATTTTTTAAATTGTAAAAAATATGTAAAATTAAAATTCATGGACTATAAATTTCAGATATAAGCAATCTTTCTGTATTAATCTATTTTCTTTCAACATATTGTATTCAAGATTTTAAGAAACATGTCCACAATCTTTTCAGCTTTTCCTGTATATACAGGGTGCGATGTGTAAATTGTTGCCATTTTATATTTTTAATTTCACATGAAAGTTGTTTGTTTTTTTATTTTGTCGACTGCACAGTATAGTTCGGTCAGTTGGGCACTGTGAGAAAAAGAGCACCATGATGTAATTCCCTCTGCCAGAAATTTGGAAACAGCATGCTGTACTGCTTGACATTCATGCCGGAATCTCCAATACAAATGTTTCAGAGTGTTTTTTCAGAGTGACAATCTGAGTGACAATCTGAGGACAGTGCAGAGGAATTGAAAAGAGTTGGGTGAGTCTAATGGTGAATACGAAGGTAGGGCAGCTTGGAAAACTCACTTTGATCATTCTGATAAGGAAAGAACTCCCAAATGTTTTGGGTGAGGGCTTCAGACTCAGGGGCCTACATCAAGTGCTTTGAGGAGGTAGTGCTGCCCTGGGTCAAGAGGGTGGCTGCTAGAAAACCCTATGTTGAGCAACAGGACTTTGCACCATGCCACACATGCAGGAGAACTCAGTCATGGCTGTCAGACAATTTCTGCGACCACATCACCTGTTACATCTATCCACCCAGACTGCAAACCCTTGGTTATTATGTGTGTGGCACAGTCGAGCGAGAGACCAATAAAACTCTTTGTAACACCAAAGATGACCTGAAGGCAAGGATTATGCCAGCATTGACCAACTTAAACAAGGAGACCATCCAGAAGTGTTGCAGGAGATTTCAAAATAGTCTGTAGGCTGTGGTTGAAGACAATGGTGATTTTACTGAATAAATTTACTCTTTAGTATTTGAGGATATTTTATATAATTTTGGTAAATATATCTGTTAAAATGAGATGTCAGTGTTACTTTCATTTTTGCATCATTTAGACGACAATTTATCTATTGCACCATGTCTAGTGATATTGTAATTGTATCAAATTCAAGCCATCTTGGCATACAAGTATGAGACTTGAAAAGATCAGGAATGTTCATACATTTATTGATTATTCACAAATATTGCCCTGATCCAATTACTTTATATTTCTATGAAAAGAAATTTCAAAATATATGTGATCAAGTTTATGAATTTATTGTATCCACATAATGTAAAAGAAAGAACTAAGCAATAAGTTTTTTTTTTATTATGTCATTTAATCTTAGAGAATATCAATTTTGATATGATGCACATTTCAAGAATGGAAATAGTTTGGGTTTGAGTTAGTAAAACCCTTTTATTAAATTTAATGGACAGAGATTTTATCTTTGTTCTCTTCTTCCCCAAAACAAAGTATTATGTGTTAATTATTAAATAATATCTAATTGACTAAAATTTCATTAACAATAAATTTTCAGAAAGTTTTTTGTTTTCCCAGTCAGTCTACAAAAGATCCTCAGCTTCTTTTTCGAACTCCTGAAACACAAACGTTTCAACACAATGTATTTTTTAAATGTTCAATCAAAATTGTCTGACAAGAAGCTTTTGAAGTGTTAATATTGAACGAGGAAACAACAGTTTTGCAAGATAGAGAGTAATATTTAGAAAACATTTTAAAGATAAGAAATGATCTGAGATTTCCAAACCAATGATCATGATCCCAAATGACCCTATCGATTGTAGGCTACGTTAGAAAAATAAATAAGAAAAGTTATAAGTCAAAAGTAATTCAAATATATTTACATCACATTAAAGTAACATCCAAACTCTGGCTCAAGATAATATTTGTGAATAATAAAGCATCAATAAATGTATGAACATTTTTCATCTAATCACATCCAATACTTTATGCCAAGATGGCTGAAGCTTGAAAAAAATCACTATCATTTCTTACATACTTTTGGTGTTGCTATTTTTCATGACTCATATACTGTAACATGAAGTTGTGCTTTTCATTTTCTTTGACCAACACAGGAAGTATTGACATTTACTGATTATTAAAGTTAAATAAAATTTATTGCATAAGATGAAAGGAAGAAACAATGATGGAATTATGTTTTTACTGTAAATGTTACTAGGCCAAAAGGATTTATTGTTCAGGATTAAACAAGTTTGACAAACACTGATTTTAATAGTGATTATTATGTTCAGTACGTTTCTTTAAATAATTCATGCCATATGAAATATTCTGCAGAAAACGCTTTATCACTAAAGATTTCTGACATTTTCACATTGTGTAAATGACAAAGAATTGCCAAGTTTAATGCATATCTGCCATTTCTTGTAATACAAGAACATTGGTAACTATTTTCTATTTACTTAAAACAAAATTGTTTCTTCAAATAAATTTTTACTATACAACCAAATTAAAACTTTTTGCTATGACCTTGTATTAAAAAATAAAAAAAAAGCAAAAAAAAAAAAAAAAAAAAGATTCACCTATTAATTAAATCTCAAATAATAGTAATTCTAGTTTGTCAGTGTTATTCTCTTTGAAGTCTCGGAATTTCATTTGTACACCTTACTAATGATTGTGAAATAAAATCTCAGTTTTAAGATGAAGAGTTTAGAGTAAATCTCTTAAACCATTGAATATTTTTTTCCAATATCTTTTATGAAGATTTGGAGGTGGTGATTAAAATTTATGATTTTATGTAAAAAAAAAAAAAATAGCAACAATAGAAAGGCAAGTCCAAATTTCCTAAATGTTAGTATTTCTTCCATATTCAACATAAAATAATTTATCAGTTTAGAAGGAAACCAACTTCACCAATTTCTGACTCAGCATTTATTTAAGCACTTAAAACAATGATTATTACACAAATAGAATTACATATCATTCATGCCATAAAATGAAATTAAATAAAAACACAAAGCATTTCAAGCTACGTAATTCCGAAAACATCAAATTGATAAAAAAAAAAAATTGTCAAGCTTAGCAGCTAGCAAAAAAAGATAATGCATATAAATTTAAATTCTTCTTCACAAATTCATAAGGCTAGCACTAAAAATGAGTTTTATAACAGCAATTTTAACTGAAAAATAAGATTTTACGATAAAGTCAAGTAAAAGAACTGAGTCGTACAATGAAGAGCTGTTTTTTCGTAATATTACAATTTGATAACAAGATTAAAAAATGTATTACAAATAAGATTTTATTAATTTTTTTAATATATAAAGAATAAGAAATAATCATTTCTAGATTAGATCAGATTTATAACTCCACTATCATTTATAATTTCTTTATAAAATCACTTGATAACCTTTTATGGCATGACATTGCCAGTCAGCATACAATGTCGATTTCTATGTGCACACTGTCATTTTGATAATTACTTTTTAAATAATTTCCTTCTAATTCTATAATTGTCAGCATCAGAGAAAGTAAATAATTATACTAAGTTATTTTCCAGTAAATTCATTTATAAATATATGCACACATGAAGCAGATATGCAAAAAAGAAGGATGTGTTCATGAAAGAACAAATAATCCATATTTTATTACCATTTTAAGCTCTTTGAGAAAATTACTTAAATGAAAGTTTTATTTTTATAATGCACACATGCAATAAACATATCTATTTTTAGCTCAAGAGTTAGTAAAACATGTCTAATCTAATGTCTACTATTATAGCCTTATACCAGGAACTAGCTTAAGCTTGGCAAATATCTACAAGTAAAGAAATCAGTAGAATGCAAAAAAAGGTTTCCCAATTAAAATAGCAGAAGCAGATGTTTAGCAACTAGCATTATACAGAAATTAGGCAGAAAATTAGAAGTATGAAGTGTTAGAAGCCTAATTATTGTTAATACCACAAAAGCTGACCAAATTTTCAGAAATCTACTCACCACCATGTGGACTAGTATCACTAGCAGTTAAAGAAGTAGAATCTTCAGAAATACCAACACTTTTGTCGACCATTTCAGTTCCTATAATTATAATAGGGCTTGGGATGTCTGTAGGTGGTTCTCCCGGTGGTGGTGAGAGGGGTGGTGGTGGTGGAGCATTAAAAGAACATGGCCGAAGTAATTTGGTGCCAACTTCCCCAATGTGGTCCTCCTCAAATGTAGCAAAATTATTGGCACTGACTTCATACTTGATTGAATCATTCATGGAAATCTGTTCCGTCATGCTCTCTGTATCCGCTTCTACGTCAATGCCCTCATCTTGAGCTTCAATTATTGAATTGTTGTCTTCTGCTGGTTTTTCTACAATGAAATCAGGGATCTTTTCTTGAGATGCACATTCTATGTTTAAATTAGTACCTTTGTCCTGAGCCATGGTTTCTATCTTAAACACAGTGCCCTCTACTTGAGATGAAGGGTTTTCTACATTCAAACCCATCATCAGTACAGGATCCACACTTTCAACAACTATATCACAACCTTTTGTCTGTAATGGGCTTTCTATGGTCAATTCAGTGTCTTCTCTTTTTGTCAATGTTTCAGCAATCTTTAAATCAGTGACTTTTGCTTCAGTGGTAGTTTCTATATTTAAATCAGTGCTTCCTATTATAACTGGAATTCCTACCTTTAAGTCAATAATTACAGACTGAATGGGATTTTCTACAACTAAGTCATTGCATTCAATTTCTGCTGGCATTTCTTTCAAGTCACTGCTTTCTTGAAATGTATTTTCTACTGAAAGATTGGCAATCACTTCTTTAGCAAAAGTTTCTCTTTTTGCATCAGTGATATTTATTTCTGGACATTCTACAATAAAATCAATAGTCTCTACTTGATCTGGAGGTTTTGCTATCAAGTAACTGTTGCCCTCTTGAGCTGCATCTTTTGTTGGAGTTTCTATACAGACAGCTATTTGAACTGGAGTCTCTTCTTCCAAGTCATTGGTTTCTATTTGAGCTGGTATTTCCATTGGTGTTTCTATATTAACCTCTACTTGATTTGGGCTTTCGACACACAAATCACTTGCCTCTACATGAAAAGGAATTTGAACCAAGCTTTTTGCTAACAAGTTATCTGTCTCTGTTTGAGCTGTAATTTCTCCTCTAACATCAATTTTCTTTTTTAGACCTGTAGTTTCTACTATCAAATCATTAATTTTGTTTTGAATGTGATTTTCTTTACCAAAACAATTGACTGTTTTTTGATTGAGATTTTTCCTTTTTAATTCATTGCTCTTAATTTGTACAGATGTGACTATTTCTGAGCTGATACTCAAATTCAAATCTTCTACAATTAACTTGGTGCTCTCAACTTGATCAGGGAATTCTAATTTTTCTTCATAGCCCTCTTTCTGGTCCATGCTTTCTACTCTCCTGTTATTGCCCTTTTCTATATTTTCTATTCCAATGTCTGTATCATCTTTTAAAGAGATGGTTGATTCATTTTCAATTGTAAAAGGTCCTAGAATTGGAAAGACATATAGCTGAACTTAAAGAGGAAATATTAACTTGAAATAAAAAAAAAAATTTTCATTTCACTGAATATATATTATATTGCTATGGATGGGCTATTATTATTACTACTACTACTATACTTATCCTTTATACTCCTTAAAACATAAATCTGGTCAAAAAATGTAGAGTTATAAGTCAAACATCTGTTGGATCACTGAAACATCTTTATCTCACATGTCCAGTCTGGTGCACTTTATTTACACGTGTATGTATGTGCAGACTTTATATAAACAAAATAAGTTATGCAGAGACCACACCAATGAAATATTAAAGGGGGCTCCTTATCACATGATGATCAATATTTGAATAAAGAAAGCTTTGATCAAGGGAATCCAGTAAAAATGTTGCAAATAAAAATGAATGCAAATATTTCCCAAAAACTTTTATTCAAATACAAAAGCTTAGAAATGACCAAAAATTATTTCACTTTTTCTTAAAGTAAAAAAATTTACACTTTTCTTTACTTTCATTAAGACTTTTTGAAATAATACCAATTTCTTTTCAAAATAGAAATTATTCTATTTTGAGATGACTTACTAAAAAATCATTGAGGAATGTCTGAAAAGCAAGGTACAGATCGGTAATAAATTGACCAGAATTAAAACATAGTTAAAACTGTAAGCACAAATCAACAGAGAGTATGCGTGAAGATGACTGCTGTCTTAGTGGCTTTATTGCCTTGCTTGGGATGAAAAGATTAATGACACAAAACAACATGGAGTACACAGTTAGAACAGTCTTAATATTGAGAATATATATATATATGCATACACACACACACATGTGTGTGGCATCACAACACTGAAGGTGACTGCCACCAAACAGAGGTGTGAAGTGTAAGAATATTTTTGCATATCAAGGGCAATGATGCAACAAATTCACTGCAAATTTGTTGCTGCATATGACAAATGTAATGAGCAGGAAGCAAGTATCATTATGATGTAATGCATTCAGCAGTGCATATCAATCTGCAAGATGAATCCACATTCATCAACAACCAAAAACAACTTTACACATATTGAGGCTTTGATTCTTTGTGATATGGTTATGGAACTTGATCTTACAAAATCAGTGTTCCATTAAATCATCCACAAGAATTAGGCATATTGGAAAGTTTTATCAGGTTGGGCCCCAAAGTAATTGACTGAAAAGAACTTGTAGAAATTTTTTTTTTCTGCTTTTGGAATGATGTTAAAGAGAGGATGGAGATATTTTAAAACACTTTATCATGAGTGATGTGACAAGGGTGCAGCACGTTACTCCTTAGACAAACATTGCATGTACTTCCATCCTCCAAAATCAAAGTTTACAAGTCAGAGTTGATGTTAACTGTGTCTTTGAATATAAAAAGCTGTTTGTGGACCTAATACCACATGGTCAGACAGTTAATGCAGTCAAATACTGCAAAGACAGTGAGAAAATGTTCATCAAAAAAGACCAAGATAAGGTAACATCCTGTTGTATAACAGTGCTATGCCATACACAGCCACCCTGAAAAAAAGAGTAGTTTCAATGGTATGATTGGGATACATTACTGCAACCACTTTATTGTTCTGACTTGACTCCTTTAGATTATCATTGCTTTGGACCCCTGACATGACATTTATCCTGGATGAGGTTCCACTGTTGTTGCAGAGGTGCAAGAGTTTTTGATTCCATGTTTTTTCAAAAAGGTATTTATACATTCCTGATCAAAAATTTAAGACCACTTAAAAATTTTTTTAAAAAGACTTTTTCATGGAAAAATTTTAAACATTTTTTACTTAAGGTTACTAATTTTATAATCTAAAAGGTTATGTAGACAAAAAGTTATAATCCAAACATTTTATTGAGAAATTGACATTTTTATAAATGAGGTGTTTTACACTTGATGAAAATTATAAGACCAGAAACAAAAATTCTATGAAATTGCACGAAAAGTGTACAAAAACATTCAAAAACCAAATTTAATAATAAGTTCTACCTCCACTGGTTTTGATGACTTCAAAAATTCTTTGGGGCTTGCTAGAAATTAGTGTTTCCATTAAGCTGCAAGGAATATTGCTCCAGCTTCTGAAGATAGCTTCACGAAGTTCGTTTTTTGTTGAATATTGTTTGCCATTTCGATAATCATCTCTTGCCATCCATCCCCAAACATTTTCAACTGGGTTCAAGTCCAATGAGCATGCAGGATGTCTCAAGAGATAGACCCCATTTTATTGTAGAAAGGTCAAGGTCCAGAATGCAGCACGGATTGCAGCATTATCCTGTTGGAATAACCATCCATCCCCACACAAACGATGACCCTCCATCACCAATGATGCTTTTAGTAGCATGCTAACATAACCAGCTGCTGTCTGACGAACCTGCACCACCTGGAACTCCATCATTCCTCTGTAAGAAAAGGCACCCCATACCATTATGGACCCTCCACCACTATGACATGTGGAGAAAATTTCAGGAGGCATGTTTTTGTTATGCCAATATTGTCAGAAGCCATCAGGACCATCTAGATTGAATTTTTTCTCATCAGGAAACAGGACTTTCTTCCACTTCTCAATGTCCCATGTTTGGTATTCACAACCAAATCTTAAACGATTCACTTTGTGATGTGAAAGCAACTGAGGAATTTGTTTGCACTTTTTATTTATCATGCCTTTTTGTCGTAAGTGTCATCTGATAGTTACTGGACTGCAATCAGCATCTGTGGCTGCCTTAATTTGACTAGAAGAAAGTCAGCTGGCTTTCACAACAACCTGTCTTACTATTCACGGAGAAATTTTTTGGGGGTCTACCAGTAGACTTTGTGTTTCCATAATTCGCACTGTCCTTTAGAAAGTTACAAATCACAGTTTTACTGCGATTTACCTTAGCTGCAAACACCTGCTGTGACAAACCTTGATTATGGAAATCTAGATAAGTTTGCTTGCTTTAGACATAGTGACACCTTTACGCAGTGATTGTTAATCTCTAACTGAACTAAAAACATTGGAATTACCCTAGATCTAACAATTTATACCCCCTGGTCTTATTATTTTGATGAAGTGTAAAACGCCTAATTTTATAAAAATGTCAATTTCTCAATAAAATGTTTGGATTATAACTTTTTGTCTACATAACCTTTTAGATTATAAAATTAGTAACCTTAAATAAGAAATGTTTAAAATTTTTCCATGAAAAAGACTTTTTAAAAAAATTTTCAAGTGGTCTTAAATTTTTGATCAGGAGTATATATTTGTGCATTAAATTTACAAGAACATCAATCTTGGTGGAAAAGTAGCACAATAATGCTGGTAACGTGCACAATGTTTTATTTATATGTTAATAAATATGGTTAATTAGTAAATAAGTTAGTATCAGGCATTACTCATATGACAGGAAAGAAGTATAAAATATTCTTAAAACCAACTTATCAAAATAATCTGACTGTGAAACTGATATAGTCTCTCTAAAAATACCATGCTCAGCATTAATAGTTTTGACAAGAATAACAAGTGGTTTCATGTATATTAAAACACAACGCTCAGGAAGCTTTCACTTAGCTGTTTAGTTTTGTATCTGTTGGTATGGCTACCTGCGCCAGTGAAACATCTCACTTTGACCATATTTTAACATTCAGGATCTTTTTGGTTGGATGTCATCAAGAAGAACTTCCAGCACAACTCTGACAGGTTTATTACTGTCAGAAGTGAACATGGTTGACATGTCAATAACTTTAGCTGCATACGTCATAATTATATTAAAGAACAGACTTCGCATTAGTTAATGTCAATAACAAACTGTTATTTTACAAGACCATAATGGTTTCATTTTAAATTCAATTTGCATCCTCAAATGATCATCTGTACAAAAATGTGCATAACCAACATTACTTCAAATCAACAAAGAAAGTTTTTTTGTTTTTTAATATGGCTAGAAAAACCTTAAAGCATTTGATATTCTCAAATAGTTACTCTTTGAAGACCAAACATTTTTCAAATTCAGTAAACTGGTTAGTGATATATTAATATCACTCTAAAGCCAATTGGTAAAGTCAAATGTAACACATCTAATAACAGCACTCAGAGTAGATTAACTGGTAATTTAACCAAAATATGATCTCAATGAGGTAGAGTTGTAAATATGCCTACAAATCATATTTTTCAGGTTACTTATTCAAATAGTAACAGAATTATTATGACTTGACTTCAATGACAAAACTGCATGCACCTAATTTTGCTTTTAAAGTAAGATTTTCAAATAAAAGTTTTGTTTAGGTTTTTAAGCATATAAACTAGCTGCCACTTAACATTATATAAGATATTTTTAATATTCAGGTTGTAGTCAGACAATATGACTTCACATTAATAATAAGATTAGTTGCTTAGTATATCTGCTTTTTTGAAACTATCTTTTCAAGTCAATCCCAATATATGTTAATTATAAAAACTTAATTATGTTCCTTGTGTAATAGATTTTTTTTTAATTTTTAGCTGAGCATAAATAATAATCAGCTTTGAAGTGAAATCATTTCAAAAGATTGATTTGTTTTCTATGGTTTATCAACCCTTTCCAGGTTATTTAAAGCCATAAAATATTTTTAGATTATAAATATTTTTTGAGATAATAATTGTTTTAGTGATAGCTGGGGGGAGAATAGGTGGATTTATACCTTTCCCAAGGGTATTTGCAGATAAGTGAATATAACAAACCCAACAGGAATTGGATCTTGGCTCGCCAATTAATAATTCTGAGCCATTATCCATTGCACCACCTGCACATCCAAACTAACAGCACCTGGTATTCCCAAGTGGTCACCCATCTAGGTACTGAACAGATTTGACAGGCTTAACTTTAGTGATTGTATGAGAACTGATGTTTCAATGTGATGTGGCTGTAAGCCTTCATTTTAAAAGGATTGATAGATTCATTATCTATGGCTTATCAACCCTTCATTTCAAAAAGGCTTTACAACACTTTATAATTCTTTTGAATTTAATTTCTAACCAAATCATACTAAACACTAATAAATAGAGAATGTCTGGTAAACAGAATTTGACACGATTATAAAGGGCTACAAATTATTCTAAAATGGCCACTTGTGATTAATGTCCAAGTTCAACATTAAGTTTTTGTGACCAAAATAATTACAAAGTTTCCAGTTTTGGATTACAATGATTGGTCAACTTATATGTCAGTGACAAGTTTGCTTATATATATGAAAATAGTTTCCTCTATCACAAAAGCCAGATAATTTCTTGTTCCCAAAATTGTCTGGGAGTATCAATGTGACTTCATATTTCAGTGACTTTAGCACATAAAAAAACACATGTAAATCAATCCAAACTACTGGAGAAAGAAAAGGCTTTACAGATGAAAAAAGAAATAACAATGTTTACCTGTTTTGATGGTAATGAGAGGTGTTCTGGAAGCATGATTTGCAATTTCCATTTGTTCTACTGGGGTGGAATGAGATGAGTTGGGTCTATCAAGTGCATTTGAAAGGTTGCAGGTGTTTGGGGTATCAGGGTCAGATTTTTCAGCTGCAGAAAGGATATCAAACTTGGGACGAACTTGAGGTCCTCCTGAGGTCAGTGCAAAACACATACACAATTAGAGTCAAACAACTGAAGCATGTGGTGACTAAAAAATTTAATATTACAAGCAAAACGTGCAAAAATCTTTGTGTGACTATTTAATTTCACTACAAAATATTTTCATGTTTTGATCTTAGCATAAACAAAAAAGTAAGAAATTATTTACTGTTTAAATAAATTTCATATTTATAAATTATTATAAAACTATTTAACTAGTTTACTCTGACTACAAAAGAGACACCATTTTAAATATCAGTTGTTCAAAAATGATATATTTTTATTTCACTACAATCAGCTATGAGTCAAGCAAGGCAGAATCAAGGATAAATGATATGAAACTATGTTTAGAATTAGTTTATAATATCTTCTATCTAACAGTATTAGATTCATGGTGCATTTCAATGTTTAATTGGGAAAACTTACAAAAGGGGAATTTCAGTTCCTCAGAGAATTAACCACACTGTTACACTATCTGAAACAGTCTTTTAATCAGGAATTCCAACCTTTCATTTTTGCATCACATTGTTACAAAAGCTATTTTTGCATTAGAGTTCCTCTACTGTCACAAAAATAGTTAAACATGTGGTTTATGACATTCAAGGCATTCAAACTGAAGCTGTACATATAGTTCATGTGAAATAAGTTTACAAATTCAGGTAGAATGACTGAAGTGAGATACAATTTGATTACTCTTTCTCTAAATGTTTTTTGAAGAGACAACATGCAAGTTTAGCAGAATGATAGACATGATTGCTTTTCTTCCACTTGTAATATAGATTAAGAGAAAACATTACAATATAGGTACATAGTAGCATACAATACAGCTTGTTTTATGACATTTTTATTGTGTTGGGGGCGGTGTTTAGTTTAGTCTGTATTGCAGAATATTCTATCAAAATGAAAACGGCAGCACCCATAAGAAATTACAATCAGCATCTTTATTGTAATTTATTTAATATTCTTATCTTTGCCAAAACGGGCCAGCATAGCCAGGCAACAATGTAGCAGTAAAAGTGTTAATAAAGAAATCTGATATTATTACTAATTATGGAATGTAAATTTTATCATGCCTTAGCTCTTACAGTTAACTAGTATTACTATATCAGATGATAGCTTAAAAAAAGCTATAAAAAATGCTTCAATAAATTACTGAGTATTTAGTGACAATTAAATATTAAAGGCAAGATGTTCTCTTCCTATTTGTGATTGATTATAACCAATTAGTAATTAGCACAAAATAGAAAATCATTTAATAGTATCAACAGTGCACAGGAGAAAATGTTACATTTTTTTTTTCTAAGGATGTTGAAATAGTGGGTTGAAATTTGAACCTATGAGTGGTCATCTTGGATTCAAATCTTTCCTAACAAGGATTCATCTATTACAGTACTTGTAAAATCTTCAATCTCCGATATGTTAAAAAATATTGTTAATTTATATTTAAAACTAAAATAATTTTCATTCCACTAGAAATAGTGTTTAGATTCCTTATTTAAAAATTTTAATTTACAATTTTGCTGGTTTCACATGTTTATCTTTTTTTGCTAATTTGCTAGAACCTCAGTGTGTCGGTTATTCTAAGTGAACATTTTTTTTTTCAAATTAGCAACAGGCTTGAAAAAGATCAACAATAAATGATATGCAAAGATAGTATAGCAATCAACTACAAAAATTCTAAAACATCATCAGTTTCACGAGATGGTCATAGGGACGCCAAGCAGCTGAGCATCTAATCAGCTTCCCCCAGATATCTTGATTGTGTGTCAATGTCTGAAGGATCTTTCACTTAGTGAATGTTAACAGCCCATTTTTTCATTGACCTGCATCTTTTGCCTAGAGTTGAACTTTGTAGAACAATAATGGAAAGATTGTTAGCTCCTATGTCCATACTATTTCAACTTTATTCTTGATAGTGTATACAAGATTTTTATATTTTCTTATCCTTTCAAATAACTTGTAATGAAATATCAAAAGCAAAATCAAATTTTTAAGTAAAATTAAAAAGATTTAATTATAAATTTGATGAAACAATTTATTAAGGAAATGTTAATTTTCTCTCAAACTGTTGATAAAATTAGAATCAACAGTAGAATTCTGACAGTATATAAGACATTTTTTAAAAATCAATTCACCCCACGCAAGACGATAATGCCACTAATATGCAAGGGACTACTGAGAGTAAAAGAGAATGAGAACACTTCAGAAATAACTGGAAATCCAATCCTAAACAGGAAACAAGTGATAAACCTCTACTCCTATTCAAAAGTCCAGAGAGTAGTGTGAACCAGACAATAGGTGAAAATGGTAATTTACAAAAATGCTATCTGATAAGTGATCTACTTGAACATCTTCCATTATAAGGTAGTGTGTTCTTTGTCTTGGATGTCAAGTCTCATTTATAACCAAAATGTGCTCAGTGTGATATGCATCACAGAATAAATGCAAAATCATGTGCACAAAAGTAATCAGAAAGAGAGAATTCTATAAGAGAAAACAGTGTTTTGTTGAACTTATTTTCATAATACCTAACAACACTAAAATACAACCCATAAAAACCAAAGTGCACTAATTCATCATTAAAAAATAATTGGTTATAAAGATGGTAAGAATTGACTACAATATTCTGTACAATTACTTGGTAAAAAAATTAGCCAAATGTCTTTGACAAAACAATAGTATTATTGGGTTATAAACAGCAATTTTCTCCCTTTTGCTGAGATTGTCACATGGGTTACATGATGGCTGGTGAATGATGTCAGGAGATAGATTGACAAAGGGCAGTTCTCATGTAGAGCCTGGAAAAGGGGGACATCCTTAGCGCAGAGTAGTAGGTTTTAAAGGAAAAAAAAAAAAAAACAAGGATTAACCAGGTTTGTAGAGAAACCACTGTAACTCCAATTTTCCCCTCGGAAAATATTACAAGTAAGGTTCCCCTTTCTTACACACCATTTTTTGTTGCATACATGTTATAATTTCTCTGTATGGGACACTTGTATATATGTATAGTTTTTTGTATGCCGTAGTATATAAAAGCCTTTCAGAGAACAAAGCATGTTGTTATTCTTTTTTCCTTTCAGCCATTCCATTCCGTCCTGTCCATGGACTATGGTATTGTTATATCATGGATATAACAGTGTCCGTAATGGAAGGAATGTAAATGGGAGAATAAATCTTTCTTCCCTAGCTCCCATCATGTTACATTGGGTTTCATATTTACTTACGTGTTCAAAGTGCGTCTTGGTCACCAATGTAACATGATGAGAGCTAAATCAATTCAGTATTAACTTATTTCCTCTTCAATAACAACCAGTCAACCTGACTCTTACATATTATTACAAAATATGTTAAAAATAAAATAATTCATACAGATTTCAATAATTAAAGTATTATTAAATGGATAAGTCTTCAACTTGCTATGGCACGAGACTTGCTTTATGTTAAATTTTCTCAATCAATGGTAACTCATTTGTTAGCTGATGAAAATTCTTCCAATGACTTGATCATTTTATGATGGCAGGTCATTGGTTAAAGTATAGGGTAGTTCTTATTGGACAATTTCTTTTAATTCAGATTCCAACTTTAACAAAACTGCATACAAGGATTTTCTGATGTAGTTAGTGCTCAAGATTAGGAATCAGTTGGTCTAAGTATAAGCAGATTAGCAGTTCAACTGAGTTGTTTTCTCTAAAATGTCAAACGAACCCAATTAAGATAACTGTTTTTTCCTTGTTCTTCATTGTGGTGATAAAATCTTTTAAGTTACCTCCCCTCTCTTATTCTTCTACACTTGTAACTATAAAAAGGTGTCTACATGGCACCATGTTGTAACTTAATAAAGCTTCAGTAAGCACCACTAACTCTTTGTCATTGTTTCTTTTCTTAGCTTTCTTTATAATGTGCTCTTTTCTATTCTCTTTTCATAGAATTTTTAAGAAAACTTTTTTTCTCTTTCCCATGTTCTTCCTTTATGCCTTTAAAGATAACTGTCTTTTGTTTCTTTATTAGCTCTAGTATGACAGTGGGGAGGGGAGCTTCTCTTTTTATCCAGATTATGTTTTATTTCTTTCTACTTTGCTTCTCTCCTCAGAGAGTTTGCTTGTTTTTTCATTTCCTTTGCCATATCCTGCCTTTCTCTAAAATGGATATGGCTTAAGTTGTTCTCCCGAAAATTACTTAAACTACAGAGTGCTGCAGGACTACAGTCTTGGACCAGGTTAATTCATCTCATCAGATGTGCACACATCAGATTCCATTCATAACTGTCACTGACTGTTACTAGATTGAATGTGCTGGATTTATTTACATTGGAAATAAAAGTAATGAATTTTAATCTTCAAGTTTGACAATTCTATAATTGAAAAATTTCACTATTTATCTATTGTTTTTTCCTCTAAGGAGTGTTGTCTATCAATTTCACTTATCAGGTTTTTATCTAACTTTTTCCTTAAGGAGAAAAAATGTTTTAGCTGTTAGAGACAATCCTTTCAACCAATTGTTACTTTTCATTAAAACTTGACTCCACTTAAGTTTAAGGACCTATCTTCAGTTGCCTTGGGTATAATCATTATAATGATAAAAAGGTATTTGTTTTTTTTTTTTCACAAATTAGATCTATTCAACTAGTTGGTGAGTCCATGAGAGGATATTGCTTGATCTTAATCAATTGAACTAGTAAACACTAAGTTCAAATCCAGTTTCTTCTGTATTAACTATTTTCATCACAAAATGATTATTTTTGCAATAACGACTGGATTTACGAGATGTGCAGTGAACATCTAATAAAAATTGCCCAAAAACAAAGCAGTAAGAAATGTACAACAAATGCTGAAATAGGAAGGAACACAAAAAGAGAAAAATGGGAAAACACTTATATTAAATTTTAAAGAGCCTTGACAGAAATTGTGAATTAACACAAAAAGAATATGAAAACAGCTATGACAGGGTAGAGGAACAATGATACACCAGGATCAAAAGGTATATATACAAAC